CCCCCCCCCCCCCCCCCCCCCTCGCCGCCGACCCAGTCTCCGCGCTACGCACGCACAGAGGCATGTCCGCGCGGCTTTTCTCCATTCTCTGTTGCGGAGGCAGTTCGGAAAGCAGCCAATCTACCAGATCCCACACCACCCCCCACGGCAAGGCCGGCGGGACAGCATCCTCGGCATCGGCCAGCTCGGCCGGCCAGCACATCCCCCTGAGCGAGCAGCCCGGCGCCCCGAAGACGGCGGCCCACCTCCCCCCCCACACGCCGGCCAGCCCGGAGCACCACCCCCCGCAGCAGGCCCAACACCAAGCCAAGGGCGCCATGGCGACGCCTGACGGCACGAACCCCGGCGGGGCGGCCCCCCCGGCCGCCGGGTCACCCATTTACTCCGCGGCCGCCGGTCCCGGCAGCAGCAGCAACCCGCTGGCCAGTGTCGGGTACAGCGCGGCGGCGGTGTCCGGCACGGCCGGGGCCGGCGGGCCGGCCGACGGCGAGTGTCTGGCCACGTCGCTGAACCTGCTGGGGGATGTGCCGGCCCACCGGGCCGGGCGCAAGGTCCTGGTCCTGGACCTGGACGAGACGCTGGTGCACTCGTCCTTCCGGCCGGTCGACCGGCCGGACTTCAGCGTGCCCGTGGAGATCGAGGGCCAGACGCACCGGGTCCATGTGCGCAAGCGCCCGTATGTCGATGCCTTCCTGCTGGCCGTGGCCAAGCACTATGAGGTTGTGGTCTACACGGCCAGCCTGGCCAAGGTGCGTCGCTGTTGGGGTGTTCCTTGGCTGGGCATTCGGCGCGCGCGCGGGTGCGTATGCTTGTGCATGTCTCTGACTTGATGATGCTGTGTCTTTCCGTTTTGCCTTGCGGTGTGTGCGCCCGTGTGTGTCTCCGTGTGTGTCTCCGTGCGTGTCTCCGTGCGTGTCTCCGTGCGTGTCTTCGCATGTGACTCCGTACATGTCTGTGCATGTCCGTGCATGTCTCCGTATGTGACCCCGTGCATGCCCGTGCATGCCCGTGCATGTCCGTACGCGACTCCATGCGTGCCGCCGCCCGCCCGCGCGATGGCTCTCCTTTCTCGCGCACACACATACACACAGTACGCCGACCCGGTGCTCGACCGGCTGGACCCCACCGGGGTCATCACGTCGCGGCTCTTCCGCGAGGCATGCTCCCTCTACCGGGACCAGTATGTGAAGGACCTGTCACGGCTGGGCCGGCCGCTGGGGGATTGCATTTTGATCGACAACTCCCCGGCCTCGTATGCCTTCCACCCGGCCTACTCGATCCCCATCACCACCTGGCTGGAGGACCACCGCTGCTCGGAGCTCCTGGAGCTCCTGCCGCTGCTGATCGAGGACAGCGTGCACATTGCCGCCGGGGGGCCGGGCGGCAAGCCGGGCGAGTCCCACACCGCCGGCGGTGGGGGACCGGGCAGCAGCGGCGGCGGCGGCGGCGGCGGCGGCAAGGCCGATGACCCCCAGCAGCAGCAGCAGCACGGCGCCGACCCGGACGCCGGGCCGGCGGGGCTCCCCTGCGAGTGTGGCCGGGCCACGGCCGGGGCCGGGGCCCTCCCCGGGGCCGGGGGCTCCGGCTGCGGCGATGTCACCGTGCCGATGTCCAATGCGGCCGGCATGACGGCCGAGAATTACCGGCGGTGGGTGCGCCGGCGAGCGGAGATCGCCGCGGTGGCGGAGCTGGCCCGGCCGACCTTCGCCCGGCCGGACGCCACGGCCTTCCCCCCGAAGGAGTCGACCGTGGAGCCGGACGGCGGCCGGTCCGATGCCCTGGTGGACCTGCTCCTGCGGCGGTACCTGACCCCGGCGGAGCTGGCGTGCCTGGCGCGGGCCGAAACCCGGACCCGGGCCCGGTGGCCCGGCGGCCAGGCGCCCCCGCACCTGCCGGCCACGCAGTACTCGCAGGCTGTGCCGGAGACGGACCTGACCCCGGAGGCGGCGCTGGCCCTGCCCCGGCCGGAGGAGAACCCGCCCATGGCCGACATCGAGGCGGACATCATGCTTTGCGGCCCGGACCCGGCGCCCTTCGGGCAGAATGACGAGTACCTGCGCCTGGCGGCGCTGGCCCTGGCCGGGGTAGACCCGGGGCCAGTGCCGCAGGGCGCGGCCATGGGCCCGGTCCGCGCCCTGGCCCTGGCTGGCCCGGCCCGGCCGGATGAGCTGGCCGCGGCGCAGGCGGCCGTCGCCGCGCGCGCTGCCAGCCGCGCCGCCGGCAGCGGCAGCGGCAGCACCTCGCCCACTTCGGCCGAGGCCGCGGCGCAGGCGCCGCCCTCGCCCACGGCCACCGCGGCGACGGCGGCCCTGCCGCCGGCCTCCTCGGAGGAGGGCGGCCCCTCGCCGGCGGGCGAGGCGCTGCCGGTTGCCCCGGCGTCCAAGCAGCTGGCCGCCGAGGCGGACCGCCCCCTGCCGGCTGGCGACCGGGCCGACGATGACCCGGCCACCGCCGGCTGCCAGGAGGCCTTCGCGCGCATGGAGGTCTCGGCCCCGGCGTCCTGAGGGGGGCGACATGCGCGCCGGCCCCCGTGTATCGGCGGGGGCCGCTCGCCCCCCCCCTCCCCCTGTGTATCTCTGCCCCGTCTCCCTCGGCCATATGTGTGAGACGCGCAAGCCTCCAACCGCGTGCTGCGTGCCCCCCCCCCCCCCCCATACGCGCACATGCTCCCTCCTGGCAGTACCCGAGCCGCGGTGTCCGCGCCTGTGTCCGTGCCTGTGTTTGTGTGTGCGCGCGCGCGTGTCTGCATGCTCCTTGGCGCCGCGCCCCCTTCCGTCGCTCTCCCTTTCCGTCCTTTCTGTGTCCTGCCAGGCCCACGCCCCTGCGTGCGCGGGGGCCGTGCGGCCTCGCGCGCGCGTGTGCCGCCGAGACAAGAAAGAAAGTAGGCAGGGAGACGGCCGTGCCTGTCAGTGTCGGCCGGCCGTCGCCTGCCTGTTCGCCTTCCTCCCCTCCCTCTTCCCTCCCTTTTCACATATGCCCCGGCTGCGCTCGCGGTGTGCGTTGCCCTGCGCGCGCGCGCGCCCACACACGTGCACATCGCGCCGGGGGCGGAAGGGGCGGCGCGGGGGCCGGGGTCGAGGAGCATCCGCGTGCTGCCTCTCCTGCTCCCCCTCCCCCCTGAGAACCGTTCTTCAGTCTGCCCTCCCCTCCGCCATCTTCCTGCGGTGTGTGTGTGTGTGTGTGTGGGCTGCTTCCTCCCTCCCCCCTCCCCCAATATAGACCCCGTCTCACTTGCCGCCGACAGCCAGGAGTGTGTGCGTGTGTGTGTGTGTGTGTGGGTGGGCGGGTGGGTGTGCACTGGCGCGAGGAAGCCGGGCCATGCACGGGTCCACACAGGCAGCCGGGCCATGCACGGGGCCACACAGGCAGCCGGGCCATGCACGGGGCCACACAGGCAGCCGCATGCAAGCGCCCGGTGGTGACGCGCTTCCCGAAGGCAGGAGGCCAAACAATGGCCGGCAACACAACGACCCACGGCGGGGAGGAGGGCATTTCCATTGGATGGCCGGCGCCGGCTCAATGCCCGGCACGGCGCCGGGGGGCGGACAGGCCGACCGCCGGGCCCTGGGACAGGACGGCCGGGGGGCGGGGGCCGGCGTCGGCCGGGCCGATGGCCGGCGTCGGCGGCGTGCCAGTCCCGCCGCCCCCGAGGGACCCGCGCACCAGGCTGGCCATTTCGGCCTGGGCCTGGCGCATCTCCTCCACATCCATGGAGTTGAAGATGAGCGAGCTGAGCCACATCATGCCCAGGGGCAGGCCCAGGGACAGCATGAGCGGGTGCGTGGCAATCCCGTACAGGGTCCAGGAGGAGGTGCGCGCACGGAAGGGCCGGAAGAGCCCGGTCGGCCGGAGCTGCACCACCATCGGCGCCGCGTCCAGGGCCTGCGCATCGGGGAACACCCGCCAGGGGGGGTACAGGCACCCGGCCCCCTGGACCTCGAGAATGTATGCGGCCTGGCGATCGAGCGAGTCGCTGGCCGGGGGGCAGGGGCGCAGGGGGGCGAGGACAGGCGCGAGTCAGCCCCGGGGCGCGCGAGCAGGCGAGGAGGAGGGCGGGGAGGGGGGTCCGGCAGGAGGAGCCCCATGGGCAAGGGGGAGACGCACAAGACGAAGCTCCCGTCGCGCCGGACAGGGGTCACAATGGCCGGCCGGGCGGGGGCCGCGGTGGGGCCGGCCGGCCCGGGTACCGGCGTGGCGCGGACGTGGGCCGCGGCCGTGATCGGGCCGCACATGTCTGTGCGCATGTGCGTGCGTGTGTGTGTGTGTGTGTGCGGATGTCAGCAGGTGGCCAGCCGGGGCGCATGCAACGGCAACAAGGGCGCATACCCTCGCGAAGGAGCTTGCCGGAGAAGGCTCGCCGCGAGGCGGGATCGGTGTTTGGCCGGAGGAACACCACCTCGGTGCTGGGACCGGGGGAAGAGCACACCCAGGGGAGGGGGAGGGGGGAGGGAGGGGGAGGGTACGTGGAGTGGCGGGGGGTCAGCAGCGCGCATCGGGGTCACGGTGCCGGGGGATGCCAGCTACGGGGCGCGCACGTTTCGGTGGCGGCGCCAGCGGCGGCCGGCCCGGGCAGGTGCGCCAGCGACAGAAGGGCCAAGAGCAGGGCCAGGACCAGCAGGCAGGCCGGGCGCTGCGCCCGTTGCCCAGGCAGGCGCGTGTATGTCATGGGAAGGGAGGCGAGCGGGGAAGGGAAATGCGCGGTGGAGGAGGGGGGGGGGGGGG